AACTAATATAAAAAATTAATGTATTGATTTTTTTGGTACCTTAAACTTTATTTAAAAAAAAAAATGACTAAAATACCATTTTCGAAATACAAGTACTTTCCAGAAAAGATATTAATATTCATCATTAATACTTTATAGTTGAATATTTAACATTGGCATTAATTTGAATAAATAATACTTTCTTTTACCAAAAAGGGGAATAACATAGTAAGTAAATGATATGTACTGTCATAAGTTCTTTGCCCTCATCAGTGCTTGTAAGAGCAATAAGGGCATGTTGGCAGGTCTCGGAACAATCATTGCCTTGGAGAACGGGTGCGCAGCCCGTAAGATAGTGTTGCAGAGCAGCGCCACAGCCTGTTCTGTAGGCGCATTTTAGTTTTGCTTCTTCGCACCTCATTATCGAACTTTTTGCTGCATTCCACATTATTGTACTAAACAACATCATCCCCGTCAGGAGTATGCTCGATCGATCTAACCAACGTGTCATCTTTCTAAAACAGTCACAAAATAATTTGCATCACATAAAATTCTAATTAAAAAGTTTCACCAAAATTCAAGCCAGAAAGGCTGGATTACAGGAACCAAAAATTCTGTAATTATTTGATATTGAAAAATGCTAATTTTGAAGAAATTTTATAAATTGTACTATAAAAAGGGTGTCTTTCAATTTCAAACAATGATTTGAAAATATGAAAAAAAATTAACCAAAACATGTAACTGTAACAGTTTAGTTTCATTGTATGGTTTTTAAAGATATTGTATTTCTTTATGTTCAATGGGTCACTGTATACAGTTTGCTTTCTCAGTAATTCGATAATGGTATTATGTTTAGGGAACGTTTCAGATGAATGTTTCACGTCTTAATCGTATCGTTTATTTGTTATTTGATCATGCAGGATGTAAATATTACCAAGAGGCATGAAAAGTAGATATAAAGAAAACATAATTCTTATACGATATTTAAATTATATGAGTTCAAAATACAATTTTCGAGTTCATATATATAATAAATCTAACTGTGTTCATATATGTATTCATTGTTAATTATTGCAGTTCACAATAATTTATATCATCAGATATAATTCGTAATTTAAGTATTGTCCCGAGCTACAAAGTGCATGCTGATTCTTGTAACAGATGCGTAACATGAAGGAGCATTCCGTGATATTCTTAAAATAAATCGGATCTCTGTTTGTCATTCGAGTTAATAGGAGATTTTGCTACTCGGCTTTATGAGCCGCAAATGTCCCTGCAAATTACCACTCGCAGTTTAAACGTTTAAGATTTTCAAAATATGTCTTACTTTTATACCTTACTTTTACTGAAATTACTTTGTCTTTTTATAATATTATTATATTATTATATTACAATATTTAAAAAAAATAATTTTAAAATATTATATTTTTAGGAAATTCTACTGACTTTTTTGTCATCTATTACAATTTAATATAATTTCAATCTCTCTAGTTATCTATAATTGATAAAATAACTAAAACCAACGGTTTTTAAATTCCATGTTTAGAATTACTCATCGCCACTGTGGCAAGTATCATACGTCCTATATTTCAAAATGAATGTTATTTTAAAGTTCTTTGTTTCTCTAAAAATCATTAATATTGCCGTCTCGTAAAATATTTTTGTTAAACTCACAGGACAATATTTTTATCCATATAGATATTTTTATGGATTTAATATTTTAAATGATAACAATAAATCAGTAAAAAAAAACACTGGACAGTTCCGCCGTTAGAATTTCTACCAGACAACGCGGTTGAACGTTCTCCTACTTTATTACTACTACTCTCTCTCTTGCTCTTTATTGCTTTCAACTGATACCAGTAAAAAAGCAGAGTGCAGCAAGGGAAGGGGTGAAAGAGAGCACGTGCGCGAGCGCGCACACGATAGTGAGAGAAAGAGAGGGGGCAGATTCTACCTGAGAGCGCTTCATTGCCAGCGCTAGTGCTGATGCTGTTGCGCACCAGCCCCAAAATGGACCACCAAGACGTCGTAGACGTGGCAACGAGGGACAGATGGCCAGCCCTATAGACCTTCAGTGATCATCAACTTCAGTTTACCCTCGAGTTTAAATCTCGTTTCGAACGAACACGCAATGACATAGAGAATGAGGGAGGAGGGGGATTGAACAGTTACGCGGACCAATGCTAATTTAACCGTTGTTTGGGAATGTTCAATCAATGCTATGATTCTGGTGCTCTCATTCAATTAAGCGGTCAAGTCGGTATTAACACTGCAGAGGGGTTTGTTTGCCACGAGAAAATAATACCTAAACAAACACTGATTACTGAACGCAAATATTCACAGGAGATGGAGCACTGATTAACATCTTAGAAATACGCTACCTGTGGTAAATGGTACTCGATTATTACTGAAATAATATATTTTAAATAATTATAAGTGGTATTATTGTAATTAATAAATTACGAATTTCTTATGTTTGAAAATAATTTAAATATACTATTTATAACCATTAAATTTGTCTATTTATTCTAATTATATGGAATTATAACATTTTTTTAAATATTTGAGTGAAAAATTTTGGAAGAATAAATTATATTGTGAAATGCTGGTTATCGTAATGTTATCGATGTTTCTCATATACACATTTGATTATTTTTTAAATATGGATCGATTATCGAATGCATTCGATATTAGCACGTTCGATCAAAAGACGAATACTTCTTGCATTACATATTGTATATTATACAAAGTTGTCATTCTTATCAATAATTCCCTGACATAAGTAACAAATTTATTATAAAGTAGTCAAAATTTTGTTACCAATATAACACATTTCTTATATTAAAAAATTAACTATTTAAGTTTTTTTTATTATGAGTGTACTAGTTACAATGGAAATTTAAATTATATTTCATTTGTTGTTTTTTTTTACACTAAACGCAATCAGTAAAAAGTTATTAAACAAAATGTATAATGTAATTTAAAAAAAAATTAAGTAGTTAAAAAGTGAAATTGTTCTTTTTTATTAATTCATAAGCATATCTTTTATTTATTTTGTATATACGTAAGTCTGTTCATTATATGATGTTTATTGAAGTGTAATATAAAATAAAATGTATAATGTTATGTAAAAATCTGCTTGTATCATTTTACATATTATATCTTTCTATGTTTTAAATATGCAATACCACTGCAAAGTTACAAATTAATGAATTGCTTACTTTCAATTTAATTCTATCACTTTAGCAATGTTGTTCTCTTTTTATCTAAGACATTGTCGTTTATTATATAGCTTGCTATTTAATAACAATGATATTTAGCATTAATACGTATAAATTTTGTTTGTACTGAACATTTGTTATAAAAAATATTTATACTTTTTTATACTTTCAT